GTACCTTATAAATACATTAGAAACAATAGCAAGAAAGTAAAAACTGGGGCTGGGAAGGTGGCTCAGTGGTAGAGCACTTGCCTTGCATGCATGAGGCTCTGGATTTGATTCCTCAGCACCACATAAGCAAAAAGAAAAAAACCGGAAGTGGCGCTGTGGCTCAAGTGGTAGAGCATTAGCCTTGAGCTGAAGAGCTGAGGGACAGTGCCCAGGCCCAGAGTTCAGGCCCCACGACCGGACCTCCCCCCCCAAAATAAAAATAAAATGCAAAACAAATAAATTTGTACTATACTGTTTTGAGGATGTCTTCCCACTTCATCATACCTTAGGTATAGAATCAAAATAGAATAGCCTTGGCCCTGAGAAGTGAGCATGTGATCAGGCTTGCGTGTGGATTTAGAAATGATGATGACTGCTTGCATTTTATGTAGGCATTCCCTTCTTAGGCTATTTTTCTCAATATCATAGACTGGGTAAGGATTTATGTCTTTCATGATTCTGGAGACTGGAAAGTCTTAATTACATGACATTGTCATCTGCTTAGTATCTACTGAGGACCTTCCTGCTAGAGCCTAGCATGGCAGAAGAAAATGGAACAAAATTGTTATCTGGAGTCTCCCTCCCTGTATATAGCTACAAATGTCTCACAGAGGCCCCACCCATATGATTTCATCTAATCTTAATACTTCAAAGTACCACTTCTAAATAGCATTGTCATGCATTGGGCATTAAGACATTTGGGGACACATTCAAACCTTGGCAGGGTGACAGTCAGATGTGTGAGCAAAAGAGCTCTTGTTAGCTGTAATTGATCATATTCATGTTTCTTATCAGCTACCTGTATGAGAAAAGCTTGAGAATGAGAATACACACAACTAGGTATATTCCTTCACAAAGAAAATTGGGCAAGTTTTTAATTGGAGATTTACTATTGCAGTTTCTAATAGATCTTTGTTACTGTAGCTACTCATGTAAGAACAAAAAAGAAATGTGTAAGTCTGGTGTTGTTTAACAGACCACTGTGCCCAGTCGAAAGAGCTACATCAGGCTGACAGAAAAGGTCAAAATTTTCACTTGTCTTATATTTAGTAATTGTACATCATATTCTCTCAATACCAATCATCAAGTATTTATTTATTGTTCTATCTTTGCCAAATGATTTATTACACTGCTCTATTTACCATAAGGGATTTTACCTATGAAACATATAGGTAAATAATTTAACACTTTTTTTTCTAGAATGACAGAGCAGATAAAATGCATCTAAAAAGACTAGCATAAGACTGTTTTTAAAACTCTGTATTCTTTTCCTGATATCCATTAACTTTGGAAACATTTACTGTGAATTTCACCTTCTACCATGAAAAATGAAATAAAATGAAAGTGGTTTGAGGAAGCCAGTCCACTAGAAAGGCTTAAATTTATCTTTAAGATGATACAGACAAATCAATGTTGTGAGCTTTAGGCTAGAGTGTGCTAATATAATTATAAACATAAGGAGTTACAGTTCTGTAAAGAAAATTTCTATTAAATAATAGCTAGAATAATTATTGCTTGAGAGATTTAAAGACATCATAATCAATATGAATGTGTTGATACAAATTATAAATGAAGCAAGTATTCCATCTGGAATTAGAGAGATATTATATGGAAAGAACAGTTTTTGTTACAATACAGTTTCTGGGTAGTGAATGAAAATTTGGAAACAGTATAGAAGTAAGGTGAATGTTTTGTGGAGTTGCACTCTGTAGTGTCTTTATTAGCAATTCCACACTAGTTTTTAAGTACAAGATTTCTCTTAAGTATTTCTGAATATTGTGGTTATAGTAGATTTGAAATGACATTGTTCCAGCAATCCCTCTAACTGACTAGACAATAGTAATGACCAGTTAAGTATGCTCTTAAAGTCTTCTGTAAAGTAAGAGGAGAGCTCATTACTAATATATAGCCCATTTCTGGGTTACATATTACTTTCTTAGGTATATCACTTACATAATGGGAGAAACTGCCATTTTGTGGGTAGCTTTTATAGTAAGGTTTTTTTCAGTGCAGTAAATCTTCATAGACTTGAAACTAATAAAAGTACCCTCAGATCCACTGAAAGATTAAAAACAAGGTTAGAAATAGAAGAAGACTAGAGCATCTTCCTCCCTTACTTCCCACATTGCTTCACACCCTGCTCATTGTCTATAACAAGTAAGAACAGATGTAAATGTGACAGAGTGATTTTAATAGGTAAAGTGATTTTTAAATTGGTAAAGGATAGGTTCGTTTTGAATAAGATTATGTTTAGGAGGCTGAGTATTTGAGAGCCTTGATAGTTTAGTTGCCACTTGGCTGAAATTTGTTATATAAATATAGCCATTAAAATGTATACATTTGTCAGATACAGTGGATAATTCAGTTGATTTATGCCTTGAGTTGTACAAAGAGATTTCAGTTCAACATGTCAGTTTACATCTTGAGAAATGTCCCCTTTCATGATTTTCCCTTATCTCCCCCAATCCTGTGAATCCCCTACACTTTCCTAGTTTCACTTATATTTTATATTTAAAGATAGGATGTCCAGGGCTGGGAACGTGGCTCAGTGGTAAAGCGTTTGCGTTGCATGCTTGAGGCCCTGGGTTCTATTCCTCAGCACCCATAAGCAAAAAAAAGCCGGAAGTGGTGCTATGGCTCAAGTGGTAGAGCACTAGCCTTGAGCTGAAGAGCTGAGGGGCAGCACCCAGGCTCAGAGTTCAGGCCCACGACCGGACCCAAAATAAAAAAAAAAAAAAAAGATAGGATGTCCACAGCTCATTTGTGTTTTGATACTTGAAAAGTTAAAAAGATAAATCTGAATGGAAAGAGTAGGCAGAAATGAAAGAAGTTAATCTTCCTGCAGTGTTGTTTTTGGAATCTACAGTTAGAATACTGGTAAATTTTTTTTCCATTTAAAAGAAAAGATTATTTTAGACATTGTGTCTAATCTGTCTTTATAGACAAATGAACAGTTTTACCTATAAGATGGAGAAAACATAGCATTATCTACTTACTCCTCTGGAGATGCCATTTGTCATAAGAATATTTGCAAGCATTTCAAGTTTTCTAAAAGTTATATGTGTTTAGGTTTTTAGTTTCATGTCTTCTCTGTTCATTAGTGTTTACCATTTATTGTTATTGTATTATCACAGCTCTAATAATTACAATCTTATTATTGTAATAATGAACACTAAGGTGCCTGAGGACTGGAGCTATTCCCATTATAATAAAGATTTAATTAACCCTGTTTGTGCTGTGTATGAAGCCTTTCAGTAAAACTATGTTTTAAGTTATATTTCAGAACACTGTGCCTAATGTGTGGCCATCGGGGCTACAAAAAGGCCTTGAGTGGAGAAGGAGGTACTTTATCCTAGCAGGCCTTCGAGAGGCAAATGAGAGTGAAATGTCAGGGTGTGAAGCGGTAGATTCAGCACAAAGGAGCCATTAAGAAGGAGTATGGCAGCTGTCAGGACCTAGAGTGGGAAGATGTGACCCAGTTGAGGAGTAGGACTTAGGTGTATAGTGCTTCTCAATCTATTAATTACAATGGGTTTGGGACCTCTAGGGTCTATAAGGAAGGAAAAAGATAATGAAAAAAGTAAGGCTCCTGATCCCTAACCTCACCAGCATGGTTCTACTTTCTAATGTATATGTTTTACAGTTAAGAAATAGATTTAGCTGATAAGTTGGAAAAACAAGTTAGAAGCCCATTAAGCTGCACACACTATCTTGTATATACACTTCTCTAATTCGGGGAGGGGAAGGGTAAAAACAAAATGCTTAAATAAGGTTACAGATTGACCCATTGTAACAATGAGATGTACAAAACACTATGTTGAAAAGGAACTTTATAACTTGGAGGGGGGAGCAGGTGGGTGTAGTTGTGGAAATGGGAGGGAAGGGATGGTAGAGGGAAAACAAAGGAGGAGGCAACAATGCTCAATAGGAAATGTACACATTACCTTGCTCATATAACTGTAACCCCTCTGTACAGTATTTTTACAATAAAGAACGTACAAAAAAAGGAAAAGAAAAAGATAACTAAAAAAATAAATTAGATAATTATGTGGTAATAGAAACTATAAGAGGGAAACTAAGGGAGAAGAGACTTCTGAGAATACACAATTTTCACTCTAGTTCCCAGTTTATCTGACTACTGCATACAGTGCCTCTCTGGCTATTAATCCAACAAGATAAAAGGGCTACTAGAGATTTATTTCTGGATTTCATTATATAAAATACATGAAACTGTCCATACCAAATTCAGTGTATCTTATAAGGATTGGGTCACTTGAATTTAAAGGGTTTTAGTTAACTGTAAAGGTTCAGAAACCCTTGAAAAATCATCTGCTTGAAATAGATGGTGTCTTTAAAGCTTTAGCTTGTGATCTATCACCCTGTTTTCTTCTTTTTTGGTGTGTACTAAATTTAAGATAAAATATGGAATTGAAGCCTGATACCTTTGAAAGCTATAAAATATTTATGGTTATTTTTAGGGAATTTATTTCCCTTCATTTGATATGCCAACTGCATTGAAAGTAAACTGGGGGATTATATCTTAGGCTTTTGTCTGGTATACATTTTACACTTAGGATGGTTTTAATTTTGTAAAGTAGTTGGCTAAAAGTGGTTCTTTGATTTCATGGTTAGTGTTGGGAGAGAAATACTCTCTGAATTTAAACAATGTATGTTTTTGTTATTTACTGACGCATTTTCTATATCAAGATCCTGATAGTTTGAACTGAGTTTGGTAGTTTTTAATCTAATCTGTCTTCATTATAGCTAAGCTGTTGTGAGAATAGGCCCCGTGGGAAGAACAAAATTAGCTTGGCAATTTTGCTTATTTGATCATGTGTATTTAACACCAGTTTTCATTTCTGATGCTACAGTAGAATTAGATCAAAAGCTGGTAACTTTTACATTCTCTTAAGTTTGTATCTCCTGTCATTCTGAACTTTGGAATATGTCTTTTCTTCTAGGTGAGGAATTTAAAATTGGAACAGGAGCAAGAAAAAAACAAAATTTTGTCAGAAGCACTGGAAACTCTAGCCACTGAGCATCATGAATTAGAGCAATCTCTGGTTGAAGGCTCCCCACCTCCCAGCATCCTTAGTGAGGACGAGTTCTATGATGCGCTGTCAGGTAACTCTAGAATCCTTCTTTCTGTATTATTGAGGATGTAGAACACAATCTGAATGTCTTAGAGTTTCTCACAATAAACAGAAGTTTCAGTAAAGCTCCCCCCAAGGAAGGTAGGTGTGTGTATGTTTGTCTTTGTCTTTGTGTTTGTATCTGTCAAGACTGGAGTTTGGAGATTTGGGATGAAAAATTCACTGATTCTGCCTATTTTGAGTGTGTAATCTGTTCTAGGATTAGAATACTGCTAAAACTGCACACATTTGGTTTATGTCTTCACTTAGTAACCATTTATTAGCTACCTTCTGGTGTCAGGTGCTAGTATCTGTTCTAAGGAAAGAGAAGTGTGGATAGTTTCTGTCTTCAGTAGGTCTTAAAGTGAAGGATACTGATGAATAACACTTGCTTACAGCTCAGTATGTTTAGTGTCTAAGTAAAGGTGAGACAGGGTATAAGTGGATCAGATAAAAGGAAGTGTGTAACTTTGTCTCAGAAATGTGTGTTAAAGGACAAGGTAACATCCTTAATGAACATGGACTTCCAAACCTGACACAGAGCTGTATGACCTGGGCACATTCCCTCTTTGATGCTTAATTTCTGCAGATTTAGAAATAGGATAATTACTCATTTTAGCAATAGGTTGCATGAGGAATAAATGAGTTCATAGTGCTTAGGATAGTGCCTGGGAGTACACAGTACTAAAAATTGGGAGATGTAGGTGGAACTGCTAAGGAATCTTTTTTTTTTTTTGAGCTAGGGTCTCACTGTGTAGCCCTGACTAGTCTTGAACTTATGAACTTCTTGCCTCTTAAGTGTGGAATTATAAGCATGTGCCTGGCAGAGTTTTGAGGGTTTTTGTTTGGTTTGGTTTGGTTTGGTTTTTGTGGGGGGAAGTTGAATTGGGATTTTATTGGGTTTGAATTCAGGGTTTCACACTTGGTTGGCCTTGCTTACTTGGCTAATACTTTACCACTTGAGCCATGCTTCCAGTCCTCTTCAGAAGTTTTTAATGCCCTGATATGTTCACCTCCACATGTTATTTTAAAGCATTCACATACACATACACATATACTTTTTTAAAATGTAAGTTTCTAACTGGAAGTGTGGTTGAAGTTAGGTTCCTGTGAAAAGTTATGAGTGAAAAGGCTAGCCAGAGCTCTAGGTCCCGAGTTCAAGCAACAGTACTGCATGCCTCCCTCCACACCTCCCAAAAGTAGCATTATAACTATTATGTACCAACTTTTCATTGAAGAACTTCTCTTAAAAATCTTTTCCTTCATACTCTAGCTTACTCTTTTTTAAATACATGTGAAAAGTTTTGATCCAGTAAAGTTGAACCACAGTTAACCATTCTTTTGGTAGTCATTAGCAACTCTAATCACCTTTCTGCTAGTCAGTCATATTTTGGTTTTGAGGCTTGAACTCCTCAGGGACTTAATCTTATTAGGCAAGTGCTTTTCTGCTAAATGGTTAAGTAAACGGATTCAACCCAGACCCTGTTGGTCTCTTCGCACCTATCTGGTCACCTTTTTACATTTATCTCATCACCTTTCCCCCACTTGCTGTACCATGGCCACAGTACTTTTCATCCAGGGCTCAAGTGCAGTCATGCATTGGATAGTTGAATACAAAGCTAAATAAGAGCAAGTTCCAGTCTAAAAACCTATGTCTTATTTAAGGCTGAATTTTAATTCCTAAATCATAAAAACATTTAAAATAAAGCCTATCCTAATATCAAGATGAGAAAAATATTCTTAAAGATTATTCCTTTATTACAAAATGCTGAAACAAGGACACCCACAAGACACTATATATGTATAGCATCTTTACAATAAAATAAAAATTTAAAAAAATGGCTAAAACAAAAAGGATTATTCTTTTAAGCATTTTAAAGTTATTTTCGCTAGGTTATGTCACTTCCTTTAAGATAGCCAGGATGGAAATCGCATCTAGGGATTTCCTATGGAAGCCTACGTGATTTCCTGTTTCCCTTTATCATGTCCTCTTCAGCTTTTTCAGATAAGCAAGATCAGTGGAAATCTACTGAGATGGTGGGCCAGACAATCCTTGGTGTAGATCTAGCAGTGTAATAATTTTTCTATCCCTGAGGGATCTCTGGAGAAAATGTGTTTAGTGTCTATAAAGATTTCATAAAATTCCACAAAGTAGACATCTTTCTTGCTCAGAATTTGGGTGAACTTCACAGGTAAACTTATTTGAAAGGAGATAAAACTAATGAATATCACCTTTTGTCTTGATTGGGTGTTGCGTAAATGTGTGGAATGAAATGGTTATTATACAAAGTAAAATTTCAAATACAGTTAAGGTGAACACTTTTGGATAAAGGGCTAAACAAGCATTATTGAAGCAAAAAATTTAATGAGTTATCAAACCCTAGTTTGTGGGGAAAATTCACCCTGTTAGCAAAGTTATAGAAATACTACATGGAAAAAGAATGATTTTATATTTTCTACCTACTCCGTTTTATTTTATTCACTTATTTGTTTGTTTTTTTCAGTTGTGGGGTTTTAGTGCAGGACCTGAGAGCTGTGTCCCTGAGCTTTTATTGCTCTACCACTTTGAGCCACAGTCCTACTTCTGGTTTTTGAGTAGATAATTGAAGATAAGAGTTTCATGGGGCCTTTTCTACTTGGGCTGACTTTGAACTGTGATCCTTAGGTCTCAGCATCCTGAGCAGCTAGAATTACAGGCATGAGCCACCAGTTCCTGGCACTATATTTTTTATTTAATTTACCTTTATTCTGCCAAAGTTCTCACAAATTTTTCAATTATCGACTCTCTCTTGATATTCTGTATTGCTCTTCTAGGCAAAATTAATCTGTTAAAATGCTGAAATAAGGATATAGGTTGACCCATTGTAACAATGAGATGTACAAGACACCATGTTGAAAATGAACTTTATAAATTGGGGTAGGGGTAGAAGTAGGGAGGTAGGGAGGGAAGGGATGGTAGGAGAAAAAGGAGGAGGTAACAACACTCAATAGGAAATGTACTCATTACCTTACTCATGTAACTGTAACCCCTCTGTACAGTATTTTCACAATAAAAAAATACAAAAAAAATTGAACTGGGTGATGGCTCAAATGGTAGAGTACTTGCCTGGAAACAGTAAGACCTTGATTTCAACTCTAAATCTGTAAAAGAAAAAACGAATAGGAACTACTTAAAGATAATAAAAATATTATTTTTTTTTGTCAGTTGTGGGGCTTGAACTCTGGGCCTGGGTGCTGTCTATCAGCTCTTCAGCTCAAGGCTAGCGCTCTACCACTTGAGCCACAGCACCACTTCCATCTTTTTCTGTTTATGTGGTGCTGAGGAATTGAACCCAGGGCCTCAGACATACGAGGCAAGCACTCTACCACTGAGCCACTTTCCCGGCCCAAGATAATAAAGATATTCTTAAAAATTAAAAAAGTTAATCTGTTACTTTCTTCCTTCAGTTTATATACTTCTTTTATAGATTTGTTTTGTACTTGTTTCTTTTAGATGAGAGGGATCATATACCCATTTGCATTTCTGAAGTGCTGAGCACATGATCATCACCCTCTAAGAGCTTGATGAGCACAGGAGGTTTAATGAATGTTACTGGTATTTCTGTTCTTTTTAAAGATACATTGGTAATCAGTACAGAACCTAAGATTAGTTGTACTTACTGATCTCATGCATCTGTCTTTACTACTTTGGTTTCCATGGAGGGGGGTGAGGATAAAATGTTGTGAAGGAGGAAGAATGGATGAGATAGTGTCAAAGAAATAAAACTTGTACTCAAGGAACTTGAAATAAAGTTGGATCTATGAGAACAGCATAGAGAGACCTGGGGAACAAAGTATCTAAGGGTGAAAAAACTAAAGGTATATGATTCCCTGAGCATTTTTTTTACTCAAGGCTGGTGCTCTACCACTTGAGCCACTGTTCCACTCCTGGCTTTTTGGTAAATCGGAGATAAGAATCTCATGGACTTTTTTTTACCCAAGTTGGCTTAGAACTTCAGTCCTCAGATCTCAGTCTCCTGAGTAGCTAGGATTACAGGTGTGAGCCACTGTCACCCAGCTCTAGGAAATTATTTTTAAGTGTTTATTACCAGTTAAATATTGTTGTTATTCCTCATAGTAGTATTAGTCTAAGATAACCATTTCATGGAAAATTTCTGCTCTGTGAATATTATGAGTTAAAAATGTTTTTCTTAGTGTGTTCACTTTCTTTTTTAGAAACACGTTGAGATAAGTTGCTCAAGAAAGGCTTTCTTGCTACATTTTCTTAATGCTATTTTGGTTGATGTTCATGAATAATGCATAAAACCTAATACTGTAGACTGAAGAAAACCAATAGATGGTTATATAATGAGACTGAAGTAAGTTTTAGTGTTTTTCAACAGTTGAAAGGGCAGGTCATTGTTAAATCATTTATTTTTTAAGTCAAAACTTTGAAAACAGAAGGTGGTAATGTAATAAATTTGGTTGTATTTGGAAGACAGTAACATGTCAAATAAAAATTCAGCAAATACAACAGACAATAGTTAATAAAAAGTAATAACATCCACACCATAAAATTTTATATACAGAAGATACAGGATTTGAAGGTAGTATTTTGATAAGAACTCTGAAGTGTATTATGACCTCAGTCACCCATGTATTGATTGCTTACTTCCCTCCTGTCTCTTTATTTGGTCATTCTTATCTCCCAGAATAACTCTGTGTGTTCCTGAGGGCAGAGACATTTTACTAAGTTAAATTTTTTCCTATTTCTTAGCACAAAACAGGTTATTTGGTTGATACTGCATGTATAACAGATTTTATAATAGAGACTGTTACCATAACTAAATATCCTCTATTTGCAGTCTATGTTACAACATTATGGAAGATGTGAAAGTAGAAGAGGCTCCTAATCTGTTTTTAGGATTACAGAATTAAAAAAAAAATACAACAGCTTACTCATGCTGTTTGTGTTATAGGTACATGTGGATGGATGTTATTTATTATTTTAAG